TATATAATGACAAAATCATATTGTTTAACAACATAATATAAACATTAATATCAACGTAATAGGAACATAAGAATATTATTTATAAATGATATTAAATGAAAAATATACTTATAAACATGTTAATAGTTAAAGTTTTTCTATTTGTGTTAGAAAGTCTTTATTATATGCTTCTTTTGGTGACACAGGCTCTCATGAATTTTAGACTGGCTTCAAACTCACTATATAGTTGAAATGACCTTGAACTTTGTGTGTGTGTGTGTGTGTCTGTATTGTGTAGTCTTAAATTTTTGTGTGTATGTGTGTGTGTGTGTGTGCACGTGCACACGCGTGCACAAGTCATAGACTATATGGTGGTCAGAGGACAACTTGGGAGTCAGTTTGGGTCTTCTGCATGTTTGTCCTGGCATTGAATGCTCACCAGCCCTGCTGGGTGTTCTGTGTTGTTGCTTGTTTACTTGGAGTCAGGGTCTTTTGGTAGCCCAGGAGCTGGCCTTGTACATGCTATGACCTTGAAACTTCTGTTCCTCCTGTCTCTACTCCCGAGTCTGTGTCACTGCCCAGTTTTTGCAGTGCTCAGGAGCCAAGCCATGGCTTCCTGTGTGTCAGGGGAACACACTACCCTCTGAGTTGCGTCTCCAGTCCTGGAGTCTACATCTGTCATGTGACTGCTGCGCTCACCTGTTTTCACGCATGCTAATCCTTAGAGAGGCTTTTGGCTTGCTAAGAGCTTCTTCTCGGCAGTTACTTAGACTTTGGAAATATAATAAATTATGAGCTAACATGAAATATTGGGCTTTCAACTTAAAATCTGGGGGAAGACAGTGTTAGCGTTTTTTCTTATTTGAGATTTTTATTTAAGTGATTGTCAAAACAGAAAATAAGAGTTGAAGAATACCCTCTCCTCTCTTGGATACACTGTTATTTTAGCTGTTGGATGTTTCTTTTCTCCATGCAGACTCAGTCCTCCTGTTCTCCCGCTGTGCTCCCTGAGGGAAATACAACTGTCTGTGGACAAGTTCTTTAGATTGGAACCATCTGATGTTACCAATGGTTGCTTTCTTTCTATTTTAACAAGAGAGGTAAGGGAGAAAAATCCTAATGCATGACATACTTTGAAATCGAAGACAACAAACTCTCTTTACTGGAACCCACTTCATGGCTATTTTGCCATGGCTGCTTGTATTTATACAAATATAAATATAGGGTCTTGTGTAGCCCAAGAGCTGGCCTTGTGTGCTATGTAGCTAGCTATGCCCTTGAACTTTTGTTTCCCTGGCCTCCGCTCCCCAGTTTGTGTCACTGCGCCCAGTGTATGCATGCCCAGGAGCCAACCCATGGCTGGAGGGCAGGAGCAGGGTTATCGCGGCACAGCGCAGCCTCTGCTCTCCATGCTTCTCAGTCTTCCTCTTTGGCTTGCCCTCCACCCCACCTCTTCCAGCAGTTTGCCAACTGCCTAGTGTATCTTCCTTAGTGTATAAGAAATAAGCAGGGTAATTCTTATGAGGTTTGAAAATGAGGAAGTTGAACTACGAAAAAAGTTATTTCTGGGGTTTATGAGTTATGTTAGGGAGTAAGGCCTAAAAAACATTTACTTTAGTATGTTTTAATTTTCACTAAATCACTGACAAATATTTAAAAATCTGTGCACTGATGGCGCCCTCCCGCCCTCGTATTAACAGTTGCTGTTTTCATTGCAGCGAGACCCATCCGAGACAGTGTCCGTGAAGGATGTTCTGGCCCGAGCTGCCGCCAAAGGTCTTCTGGATGGGGTTGAGGTTGGGAAGACATCCAAACGGGAGAAGAAGAGGAAGAAATCCAAAACATCACTGTCCAAAGCTCCTGCTAATGACAACAATGGCATTCAAATGACAATCACCGAGTTCGTAAGTCAAGAAAGTAAAGCGAGTACTTCCCGAGGCGAGCCAGTAACAACTAAAACAGCTCTCCCGTCAAACAGTGTCTTCCAGGTCAGAAAACCCAAGCCTGCCACCAATTCTTTACTGACCACTTACTCTTCCAGGCCAGAAGAAAGGCAGGTGACCTTAAGACGAAGGCCAGAAGGCAAAGTGTTTCCTCTGAAGTCCGTTGAGATTGTTTTGCCTCCAGTGATGTTCCCACTCTCGAATTCCCAGGGGGCCCGAGCTCAGATGCCAGCAAACCACGTCTACTATCGCTTGGTCGGATCAAAGGCCGGCAGGCACAGCTACGTGACATCATCAGCACCCAGGAAAGGGGAGAAGGCTAAGGAAAGCACACCTTCCTCCTGTGTCAGGCATCCCAGGCCATGGCTTTGACTGTGTGGCCCTTCCTACAGGCTGGCTGGGATTTCTTTCCTTTCCAACACTATTACTGGGGCTTTTGGTCACTTAGTATCTTCCCCTGGGACTTTACCTCCAGAGAATGAAGACAGATAAGAAGCAGTGATGGAGGGAGCAAGTGAAGGTGTCGCGTCACCAGCTCAGTGCTAATGTGTTTTAGGATGCCCAGTTGCAGACTGATCAGCTGGCAGACCTTGTCTCCCTCCTGGCAGGGAGTGTGGACTAAGCAGCTGGCTTCCCTGAAGTGGGCAGAGTGCCTCCCAGCAGGCTTCTCTGCACACTACATTGAGGGCCTGGTAGAAAGTCCTCAGCTACAAAGAATGGTGTCCTTCCTCTCCTGCCTGCCCCAGCTCCAGCCAGGAATCTGACCCTGCTCCTTAGCCAGGAAGTCACTGTGCTTGAAACCTCTGGGATCCCAGTTGAAGCCAGTTTTTCCCTTTAGCACCCCACTGTTCCCAAAACAGGGCATGCCAGAAGGTTCTGCAATGGACTGAGCTTTGACTAGGGGTGGGAAGCCCAGTACCAGGTGTGCGCAGTCCAGATGGCCATACAGAAAACAATGTTTCTGGAGAACTTCCAGAATCCTGAGTAAACTGCACACAACAATCCCTTCCTTCTGTTTATACCAAACATTGTTGGGAAAAGGACAGCGAGCCAATTTCTACCTAAGGATTCTTGTTCTGAGAAAGAGGTCTAACTGTTGAACACAAGCAATGTATCATTGGAAAACACAAAGATTTCTGATTCTATGCAAAGATCAGGTGACACAGCCAAATGTACAAGTCATTTTGATGGCACACAGTGCTCAAACCTTGGTAACTCATTTCTGATGCACAGTTACAATATATTGTAGCACTATGTTCATACATTAAATGTCAATTACTCTTAGCTATATTAACAATTGTCTACCAATATTGACATGATTATCATTTCTGGGTCTGATTTTTTTCATCATGGCAACAGAAATTGTTTGACATTAAATAAAGTTATGACTAAAAATCTTATTTTTAAAGAGTTTTGACACATTTGGCGTTTGAATGTAAAGCTTTATCTTCAGAATTCAGCTGTGGAGGAGCACGGGTGAGCGCTAAAGGCTCAGTTTCGGTGGCCGTGTCAGCAGACTGGGCTCGGTGTGCTTCAGCTTGAAGTGGGAAGGACAAAGGATTGGTGGGTTCTCAGAGCAGTTTTCTTTCAGCCAAAGATTCTTATCTTTTCATTAAAATCTGTGAGTCAAGAAAATGAGCTTATGCTTCAAGAGGCTTACTTATATTTATATTCCAGAGAATTCTCGTCAGTTATGACTCTTAAAACACACAGAACTTAGGAAACAGGCAGAATGGTTCTTTCCCAGTTTCGGCTTGCCTGAGCTGAACTGAAAGAGCCTGTCTGGGCTGGGCTGCGACTCCGTGGTCAAGCCCGTGGTCAGCATGGATCAGGTGCCAGTGGCCATCGCCAGACCTGCAGGCCACAACCTCACACTGCTTCCATTGCCTAGGTAGGCTACTGAGACAGAAAACATGCAGGTCTTTATGTTTCGAGGGGCAGCCTAATTTACCACCATTGAGAGGGGAGCTGCCATTCCAGCCCAGCAATGGGAGCTCAGGCTGAAAACCATTCCACCTGATTTGAGATCTTTATTTTCAAGTGTATTTTCTGGATCAACTCTTTGCCTTATAGAAGCTCAGGATACTCTCTAGCAGCGCGTGGTTCCGTCGCCACTGGCAGCCACTTCAGAGTCTCCTCATTTGCAGCTCGGCACTGAACTCGCTTCCTCTCTGTACATTCGAGGAGATTCTCAAGGGACCCACTCATCTACTAAGCTTGTGTGCCCTTCTTTGGCAACCTTCTTGGAAAGCCAGGATCAGTTAATTACTGGTAAAGTGAGAAGGAAAGCAGGGTAGGAACAACACGAGAAAACTCTAGTGCAGACTGCTGGTCACACTGCCTTTTCATCTGAATTTTACTTTCTTGAGTTTCTTAAAGTGTTGCAAAGTAAAAAAAAAAACAAACCATCAAACCACTAGTATTTAATACCACAGTAACAGTTTATTTACTTTGTGGAACTGGGGATTGAGCCCAGAGTCTAAACAAATTCAGATTTTTACCCAAAACTATTACCAGTGTAAAACCCCTGGAAGCAAGATGAAATGCTGCTCCTTGAGAGTTACTGTCTTGAGCAGCACAAGGGGAGGCAGAATGTGGTGGCACACGTCTGTACACGTCTGCAATCCCAGTACTCAGGAGGCTGGGGCAGGAGGATCGGCATGAATTCAAGGCCAGTCTGGCTTACGTAGCAAGACTGATCTCAAAGACAAGACAACATGACACAGCAAATGAACAACTTGGGCACATACTTTTAATTACTCGTCTTCTGTTTACCAGGGAGTTAAAACCAGACCCAACTGACTCTCTCTTTCATTCTGGATTTAATGCACTGCCCACTTCCATTCCCGATCCTTACAGGAAGGAAAGGCAGACTTTGTGTGCACGCTGACATGCCTTAACCCTATGAGACTGCTTACAAAGAATCCCAGCTGATGACTCGATGGGCTTCTGTGTCCAGAACGCCAGCTCTTCACTGACCGAAGAGTTAGGGAAGAGCAATTCCTTAAAGTCACCCGCCCACTCTCACCAAGTGGGAAATGCAAACACTAATGAAAGCAGAATCTTACATTACTAAAATGATTTTTAAAAAGTTTAATTTGAAGTAAGAATAATACAAAAATAAAATAACTACTGTAGAGATACTAGGTTTGCATCTGTTTCTCATAGATGTGGCCGTGCCGGCAGATAAATGAGGCAGACCTTGTACGCAGCTCCATTTATTCTCACAACATCTTACATTTAAATGTGCAAACGTGGTCAACAGCAAAAGGCATCAGAAAGAAAACAAGATGTCCTTTTAGGAGGAAGCGGCTGATGTGGCTGCCTGGCAATGCTCTCAGTTGGTGCAAGCCAAGACCTTTGCCTTGACGTGCAACCCCCCCCCCCCTTCATGGTTCCGAGGCTTAAGCTCAGAGCCCTGCACATCTTACGCAAGCGCTCTACCACTGAGCCACACCCCCAGTTTGCCGAAACAAGTTCAATTGCTTTCTTACTGGTTCTGAGCATGTCGGATGTTAGGAGGTTAGGTTGAACCCGGCCAACTCGAGGGCTTTTGGCTTGATTAAATTGTGCTAATGTTAGGGAGACATTTTCCCACGTGGTTTGTGAAATCTCGCGTTGCATTGCTCATACAGGGAGTGTGCGCTACAGTAAGGGAAGCTTTGGGGCTACACGTAAGTGGTCCTGTTCTGAGTGGTTTGTTCTGTGCCCCTCTTAAATGCCTAATGTGTATTTTTTTTAAAAAAAAGTAGTCGTGCTAACCGCTGTATCACCAAGAATTTGTTTTAATGGAAAGGGGTCTAATGTCCCTTCATGCAATGAGACAGACAGACCAACAAATGAAACAATGGTTCTAATTAGCCATGGGTGATCCTGAATCCAGGTGGAAACAAAGGGCGCGTGGATGGCTGTGTAGCTCTTTGATGACGTCACGCAGGTTGGGAAGGATATAAAAACAGAGCACCGCACAGTGCCTTAGTCTATCTACAAAGACATGGTCTTAGCCAGAAGCTTGTTGGCTACTGTGGTGATGCTGCCCCGGAGCACAGGGAAGGTGGGCAGAGCACTCCTACCTAGTTGCTTTTAAAAAATAAAAGGAACTTTAAGCATTCTGCCCTTGCTTCTACATATTCCAATAAAAATGTGACTACAAATCATTACAAAACCACCTTGTAGGCGATGTAGTTCACTGAGATTAATTAGGCCCAGGTAACTGACGTTATACCCAGGAAAGAGAATACATTAACACAATAATGTGCCATATTTCAGTAAAAATAGAATAAATAAAATAAAAATATTTTAAGCTGTATTTAACAAGTTAATTAAAAAAATGCTAAGACACACAAGGCTTAGTGAACACGGCTGCCTGTTCCCGAATCCCGGATCTAAAGAATGCATAGATAACTGAAGTCACTCAGATCTCGGGTAAAACACTGGCATCCTTTCACAAACAAATGCAAACATACTTTCATACATACTTTTTGGCCATGGCAGAAAGTTGTCTGAATACACTGTTTAACATAACTCATTTTACAAAAATCAACCTGCATTTAGTAGGCAAAGCTATTTTCAAAACAAAACAGCCGCAGTAAGAGTTTTCTCCTGTGTAAGACTATCACTCCTCTTACCGAGTCCTAAAATTGCATATATAAATCAGTTTGCTACTTAAAGCTAGCTCAGTATTCTTGATCCTGAAAACAAACAAATGTAGGTCTTACAGACGAACAGGGTTTGGGTGGAGACGTCCTATAGAAACATGGATTACTTTAGAGTTTTGAGGTGGAGTGCATTAAAACATTTCACCATGAAGCTCAAAATGAGAGACCGTAACTAGATTCTGGACAGTTTTTCTCTGGGCACAATAAGAAATCTCTCAGATGGCACTAGTTACTTCAGCTAGTATGCAAGTTGGCACCAAGTATTAATGCATTTTTTCTCAAGGAACATCACTTGTATTGTAGTGTGTGGGTGCCAGAAACCGGCCCAGGTTCTCTGCATCTGACTCCATGGGTTTTCTGAGGACCCACAGGTGGAACACGCTCACTTCAACGCAGTCTGCGGCTGCTAAGTGCCACAGTCGGGAAGGTTTCTACACAAGTAATGTAATATCTAGAAAACCTCGGCTCGGAAAGGCTGCTGAGGACAGACATTTGTCCTCTACAACACGACTGAGGAACACAGTCCTGGACCAAGAAAGGACAATGGTCTTAACAATAAATGCCACTGTGTAGACAAACTGGATGTTTTCTTTAACACACTTGGGAATTCTGAAACTGCCTGATAGTATTTCATTATCTGTACTGTGTATGGACCTACAGTCATCTGTGAAAGGTCTTCCTGACTGTGTGGAAGAGGCATAAGGTGGCAAAACCTGGGACACGTGGTCCTGGTTCGGGCTCTCAAGAACTTGGGTGAGATCCTTGGCCACTTAGCCTCTTGGTACAAAACCCAGTGTATTTGATTTCTTCAGTGAGTTTGGTACCTTTCCTACCTTGTAAGGCTCGACTGTGATAAAACTGTGGAAAGCATTCTGACATCCGCAGAGCAGCGCATAAACACAAAGCATCACTTTTATAGCGATATTAATTTTGACATTAAAAGTACACAAGAGTAATATAAGATTGATCTTTGCAACCTCCTTTTAAAATAATGTCAGCAAGAGTCTAAATTTGTGTATTTTTATAGTTAGGTTTCTTAGCTACATAAAAAGAGGCAAGAAAATGATATTTGGGGAATGCTATCAAACAACCCATTATTTCTTTGTATATTGTGCTCAGATAAGAAAAAATTAAATCTTTTGAAAGTAAAATGGAAAAATAGAAGTTTTAAAACATATCTAGTCAAGTCTTACCAAATTTCTAACATTAAATACGTAAGTTCAAGAAAAGTACAACTTAAATTTGTTGCCATGGACACTGTATGAAGGCTAGCCAGCTTTCTGGACGAAAAGCACAGCAAAAGCTTGTGGCAGAGAGGGAACCCTAGGAGGACATTTACCTCCAGGATGGGAACTAACAAGAATCACACAATGAGATCTAAAATCATAGTGTGTGACAGAGATATAAATGACATTTACTCAACTCTAAATTGCATATTAGCTCGTCAAACTAAGGATGGAAAGTGTAGGAATATTTCATTTTCAGGTGTGGGTGGAGAATGGCCATAGCATACTTTAATTCTCTAGCTGCATTGTACAACGTAAGGCAGAAGTTTGAAATATGTCCCATCCCAAATGTATTATGAATCTGTTAATCTCTCTCTCTCTTTTTAAATAACCAGTTTGAAAACCATCTGAAAAGAAAGGTTATTTTTTTTTGCTTGACTTTAATTCCTCAAATTTAGTTTTCTGTTAATTTTAAAGTTTTCCTTTCCCCAGCACCCCAAACAGCTGTAGACATGAAGGGGTGTCCATGCATCAGAGAGCTCACTGAGGAAAAGTGGCTGGTTTGTGTCTGCACTGATGCCAACAGCCATTTCTGTCAACTGACAGATTCACTTTTATGAAAAACTAAAACCCAAACGTTCTTTTTACAGGAATTCAATGGTATCTGTCCCTCGGATAGACAGGACATTCGGGGTCTGAATGTTTTAAAAGCTGAAAACAAGGCAAAGTGCCAAAGGACCCCAAGGTTGCTGGCGACAGATCCAACCAAGAGGCCAGCGAAATGAACCTGGGGAATCATTCCCTCCACAGACGCAGCATTAGTTCTCTAGGGAGGGCGTGGCCACATCCTTCGGAGAGCGTGTGAAGTCCTGCTCACAATATTTACAGGAAAAGACCTTCCACTGCTCATGATGGAACTCACGGGAACAGAAAACAAAAACAACTCATGCTTCTTTTCATAGCACACGGTGGTGGCGAGACGTGGTCACATGCTTGTCTTAACACTGTTTGGTTAAGGACGAGTTCTCTGGAGACAGAGCATCAGCAATGGAATGGAAGGCCAGTGGTCGGCTTCTTTAGTGTAGATGGTTGCTCTTCGGGTAAAAGTGACAGAATCCCGGAGCCCGGAGCTGCTAGGGCGTTTCTGGGACAGGGCGTTTCTGTTTCAATGTGTCAATGAGCGATAAGACCCCTCGCTTTACGTTAGTTGTGACTCTTCTGGTCACCGAGTCTGCTGGCGGGGGTGGAGGTCGGACTTTCTGCGAAGGTGGCCTGGCTACCAAGCACTTCTGATACCGCAACTGGAATAAAACAAGCAAGCAGCGATTTAGGCAACAGTATTTCTTCTTGGTTGTTGGATTCAAAAGTTAATGGCCCAACTTCTAAACATAAATCTAGGAGTTCATCACCACTACCACCAGCACCACCACCAACCCCCCACCAGCACTACTGCCACCACTGCTAGTACTATTACCATCATTACCACCACCAACCACCACCACAAGCACCACCAACACTGCCAATTACCACCCGCCCCCCCACCAGCACCAGCACCACCCTCCACCCCTGAGGTGGGATTCCCCTCTGTATGCTGTGAATACCACTGGTGAATAAAGAAACTGCCCTGGCCTGTTGATAGGAAAGAACTTAGGTAGGTGAGAAAAAATCGAACTGAATGCTGGGAGAAAGGAGGCAGAGTCAGAGAGAAGCCATGGAACTGCTGTCAGAGACAGACGTGCTGAAACTTTGTTGGTAGGCCATGAACTTGTGGTGATGCACAGATTAATGGAGATGGGTTAAATTAAGATATAAGCGTTAGCCAATAAGAAGCTAGAGCTAATGGGTCAAGCGGTGATTTAAATAATATAGTTTTTGTGTGATGATTTCGGGGCTGAGCAGCCAGGAACGAAACAAACAGCACTTCTCCAACACCCCCCACCCCATCTCCACCAGTAGCACTATTCCCACCATCACCATCTGGTCTACCACAGCTGCCACTCTTCTTAGCACCATTACTCCTGCCACCACTGCTCCCCGTCCCCCCATACTACTACCATTTCTGTTGTGTGGTGGGGAAGACTGACCCAGCTCCTTGTATATGCAAGGCAAGTGCTCTAGCCCTGAGTGCATCTGCAGTCCAGATTCATTTCGTTCTTCATGTGGAATGTTTTAAGTTCCCACAGCTGCTTGGCTTCTCCCACCCTTCCTTTCCGCCCACTGCTCACAGACAACAGCTAAGCAAACGAAAAGGATTAGTGGAGAGAGGGCGTTAACTAAGTTTCCCATCAGACACGTACATCCAGGTGAGTGTTGGTGACACGGCACAAGAGGAAGGGCACAGTCTGCATCCAGGCTGTGTTGCCTGTGAGCTCTAGGAACCCAGCCATTGCATTTCTCCACGTCTCAGTGTCTTTGACTATAGAGCACTTGAGAATTACAAAGCAAACCGTAGAAAGCCTCAGATAGGCCTAGCAACGTCTATTTGTTCCCCTCCCTGTTTCCTACTGTAACAGAAAGTGCTGTACTGAGATGCCAGTTATCTCTTTCAAGTTCAAGTATAAACCCTGAGAGATTAAAAAAACAAAAACAAAAAAAAAACAAACCAGCACCTACCATTAGCATTGACAACACGGGCATATCTATCCTTCAGAAATATAGCAACACAGGCCTGCTGAGGTGGCTCGGCAGGTAAAGGTACTTACTTGGTTTTCAAACCTAACAACCTGCCTTTGACACCAGAAACCCATAGTAGGAAAGAACGAACTCCCCAGTGCTGTCCACTGAGCTCCACACGTGGCAACTGTGAGCTTGCACTCTCTTTCTCACGCACACCATACACACATATACACTAATAAAAACTCCTTTGTTGTTTTTCCAGACAGGGTTTCTCTATATAACAGCCCTGGCTTTCCTGGAACTCGCTCTGTAGAGCATGCTGGTCAGACTCACTGGCTGGGCCTCCCAAGTGCTGGGATTAAAGGTGTGGACCACCACCACCCGACAATAAAAACTTTTTAAAGAGAGAAATATATCAACATAGCCTGCTTGCTTTTGAACTAGCAGAAAGCTGAGTAATTCTCCAATGTTAGGTGAAAAGGATTACGTTTGTCATTTTTTTCTGACCTCCAAAGTCAAGTTAAAGGTCAAGAGACTACTCAACATAGTTACAGCTGCTTCTCCCTCAAAACACATGAAAGCATTCACCAAAAGATGGGATGGGGATTTGAATGTTCTCTCATGTCCCACAGGTCAGAAAACTGGTCTCTTCTACTCACCACACACAAAAGGATGCTTTACCGCATGTCTGCTCTATGGAGAACATCTTGCTAGGTCTGCATCACCAACCACACGCTCCTAAAGCATCAACTCACCAGCAGGCACGTGTGGCAATATTAAATCCTGGACTTGAAATTGCCAATAGTAGCTTTGTATGCATACCGTGAATCAAAACTGCACATAACTGATGGAATTCATAAATAAATTCCATGAAAGTGTCTCCACCTAGGCCTATACAACATAGCTGCAAAAAGGGCCTTGAAAGCGAATTCCAAAGAATGTGTCACTACCATATCTCCGATCGTACCATGCATAAGCATTCCAGATGGAGAATGGCATGTATCCGAATGAAGAAGGGTACCCCTGCATTGGGGAGAACTGGATTCATGGTATGGTGGGAGCTTAGATTATTCCCACGTGTCTTCTACCACACTACCACCCTACCACCCTACCACACTACCACACTACCACACTACTCCAGCTGGTTGTATTAATAAAATTTTTATTAAAAAAGTGTTTTCAAGTGGAAAAATGATTCTGGGAATCTGGAAAAACAAAACTGTAGCCACTGATAAAACTAATTAGCTAACTGTCATTAGCATTTAAAATGTATAATTAAGAGTGAAAGCCATTCATTTTAGACCCAAACCATCTGTTATGCTCCATTTCAATTTTGTAAAATACCTAGTTCTTTCGCTTGACTGAAAGAGCACTTTTTTATTTCCCATAGTCCCTTCCTCCCACCTACACCTGGCTCCCAGGTCCACCTCAACTCCTGCCCTCCCCTGCTCCTCTCCCACAACCCCCGCTCCTGAGTACCCAGGCTTGTGAGCATTAGCATCCTGTGTGCACAGCACTTAGAGAAAACAGCCCTCCCACTGAGGACCAGTGAGTGGGAGCCAGATGGAGTGAGGATCCCAGGTCTCTCTTCCTTCCTTCCCTTCCCCCCACTCAACAGTCTCAAAGATCAAAAAAAAAAAAAAGTGTGTGTGTGTTTATCATGCACAGGACACGTGTGGAAGTCAGAGGACAACTTTGAGGGAATTGGTCTTTTCTCATATAGGCTCCATGTCTCAAAAATTAGGTTACCAGGTTTGGTAGCAGGTGCCTTTACTGCTCCCTGGCCTCAGTAGGTATCCATAGCCAATTTGCTCTTTTCCTATCCTGTTGTCTAAATGGCCATCAGTGTCCTTCACCATTGGGAAGGCAATAATAGCTAAGACAGAAATCTAGAAAAAGAAGCTAGAATGTACAGACCATACCAGATGTCGGGTTTTTGGGTTTTTTTTTTTTTGTTTTGTATCTGGATTCAGAACTCATTTTGGGGATGACATGACAGCTGGCTGGGGCGTGATTTATGATTTCTTGGATTGCACAAGTAAAAACGAGGCCAAATGCAGCCTTGCAAGACATGGCCTGTGTGAGAAGAGAGAGATGACAGGAAAACAGCAGAAGGGGCTGGAGATGAGAGAGAAGGAGGGGGCACGGCCACGGCCATGGCCACGGTCACGGCCACACTGCGGCTGGCAGAGGCACAGTGGGGGAGAGTCTGTGGTGATGGATCTGCCAGGGAGCTGCAAACTTTTACACAGAGGACTGAATATTGCAAAACCTTAAAAACAAGCAAACCCACAGAAGCGCCGTAGGTGATAGGCAGTTTTTAACGCCACTGTACTTTCAGGCAACGACGGTCTTATGTGTGGTCTGTCATTCACACTGACATAAATGTCATTATAAGGTACATGATTCACATGGCTCCTTTAGCGCAAGAAAGTGTGTAGATCACCTCCCTCCTAAACAAACCAAGCTCACAGACCAGTCCGTGGTGTTCCTTTGACAACCCCTCGATAGACTTTCCTAGTTCCCACTTTCAGAGTCTTTCTCCCTTTGTCCAATTCCTTCTCTGTCTGGTGTAGTCTCCTCTACTTATAGCTCTTTTCCACACTACCATGGGACTTTGGATGTTGTGTCTCTCCCGCTATACCTGAGCTCCCGGATTCACACTTGGGGCTTTCTGGGGTCTGTGCAGAGCTCCCGGATTCACACTTGGGGCTCCTCGGGGTCGTAGCAGAGGGGACCCCTCCACACAAGGCAGTGCTCCATCTCACTGATCATGACCCCGTTAGCCCTCTTCTGGCTGCCTCCTGCCGAGGCCCCTCCTGGTCTCTCTAGTCGCCATGCTGACGGCCCGGGTTGATCACTGCACCTCAAGCCATACTTTAAACTTGCCCTCCCGAGGAAAGGTCTCCAGGAAGATGGAGTGTCTTCCTTTAGGATGGAAATCTATTTTAAAACCTAAGTGTGAGCAGGAAGCGGTGGCACACGCGTATAGTCCCACTGTTGGGAAGGTTGAGAGTTTCAAGACAGTCTAGGCTACAGTGAGTTCCAGGCCAGCCTGAGCTACTAGGAGACCTTACCTCAAAAAATCCAAATCTAGAAAAACTCCAGAAGCGAGAGATGAGCAATTCCTACTTGGTAATCTTTCCTGGAGAGACCAACTTCACCAGTCTTTCATGACAGGGGTCCTGTTTCTCCCAGCAGTCCCAGCGACTATCACCAGACTGAGCCCTGGACCTCAGGCTCTGGTGCCTACCTTCACAGTTCCAGTGTGTGCAAGCAAGGTGCCCAGTGCACATCTGCTCAATGAAGAGATGTTTACGTCTCAAATCAGACATCCTGTGAAGTACCCTGGCCTTGTGAGCCAGCAGCACGGGGCCGACTCTAGTCTGTTACTTATTGATCACTATAAAGTATGGGGCTTTGGGAGTTAGACGTTATCCATTCAATAAAGGATTTCCACTCTACTTTACAGCATCTAGAACAAGGATAGGGAAGGTCGAGCAAAAGGTGGGCTCCCTCACCATGCAGGCAGCCTGGACAGCTTCTGACACATTGGCGGCGTTAGGCTCACACCAGAACACGTGGCACTCAAAGCGCTGGTTCCCAGTGTCCATGATGAAGGCAAACGTGTGGACATCCTTCCCGACACCCATGAAGGACAGAAACCGCACTCGACACTCCACCAAAATTTCCTCTTCGTTCTGTAAGAGACATGGTTCAGCACCCGTGCTCCCTGGGAAGCCAGACAGCTGCCAGCACAAAGTCCCGCCTTAAATACTTCAGAGAATTCCGCTTACAGAGCCTGGTAGGATTTGCATCTTATTAGAAAGTCAGAACGTGGCTAAGCAGCCTGAGAGGCCACCACTGCCGTGGGTGTCTGATCTCACAGCGAATGACCCTGCTGCTGTGGAAAGGGATGTGTGTCCCATCCTCTAGCCACTGTAGCCCACATCCGTTCTTCACTGTGCGAGGAACAATGTCACAGAGACGTCTATAGACTGCCCAATGCAGGACCCTCAGTGGCTCAGGACCCCTTTGTCTATGTGAACCTTTGTCTATGTGTGTCTCGCTCTACTGTTTTTTATTCAAGCACCAAATCACGTCCAACACTGTGGAAGACAAAATGCTGCTAATCAACACATTTGTCAATTCACCCCCACCCCTTCTCCACACACAAGGCAGCATAGAGACGTGTGTGGGATTCGTTTCATAGCTGACATCCATGGCAGCAACCACAGGCAATTTGTGAGTTAGTAAACACAGCCAGAATGCCAGCTTTCAACTGCAACACCCTGGCTTGTTAACTATTCATTCGGCAGTGAGGTATTTCACAGGCATCCTACCCTGAGCAGGGAGGTCAGGAGGTTTGGGGAAGAAATACTGGAGTCAGAATCTGGGAGAGAGGGTATGGACAAAGCGGGAGGTGGGGAGGAGGGGGAGTATATGGAGGGAGCTGCACCAGTCAGAACACCGCAATGGGGGAGGGCACCACAACGCGTTTTAGGAGTGAAATCCAGCACAAGGGGAAAGGAAGGCAGGCTGGGGAAGACTGTTCACCGACAGGGGTGAAGTGGTTGACAGTGACCTGCTGGTGGCAGAAGCCGGGACATGCTTATGACCTGAGGTCTTCCCAGCACAGGGGCTTCAAGCACCTTGGTAAAGGGGGCTGAACTCAGACCACCTGGCTTTAAGGCCCGGTCCTGTGCTTCCAATTTGATCTTAGCCAAGTGACTCTGTTCAATCACCATGACAGGATAATCTGGGTTGAGGCGAACGCCGGGCCTGTCAGGAAGACCAATGATCTGTTCTCCAGAAGACATATATCACTGGGCTTCCCTAATACAGGCAACGTTTGCACCCAACTCCAGACAGCATGGCCTAGTCCACATCAGAGCCCTAATAACAAAACTGAGAGGCACAGTAAACTATGGCTAGTGCCACCTGTCACCTCGCTCGAACCATTTCAATCTCTCAAGCAAGTGAGGAAGGCAGAATGGGGCATCAGAATAGGAGTTTCCAGGTCCTGAGGGAGGCACGATGAGGTCCAGACAGTCCCAAATCTTCTACAAACGTAGGCCATTTTAATCACAAGTCAATATCACCTCCAAGAGGCCAAGCCTTGACTCCGAGGCAAGCCCAGTGTCCTCTCGAGTGCCTCACCTTTTCACTGATGACTGTCACAGTGGCATCGGCCACGTTCATGTTCACCGAAGGCCAATCCTCCTTGCTGGATGAGGTCATAAGACTTTCTATGGCACTGTTCAGGGTGTCCATGCCTACATATAGAAAGGATAAGTAAAACTTCACTCTCTAATGCAGGCCCAGTCACTCAGGAACAGTCATACCAGACTGACCTTTGTAGTTCCTGGGGTCGGGCCACCTTACTGCTTTATCCTCAAGTCTGCTCAGAAGAAAAAAAAGCCAGTTTTTCCAATAGAGAGTCCTGGGCATCTCCAGGGATGTGTGTGTATGTTTGTGCCTGCATGTCTGCATGCATGCATGTGTGTGTGTGTGTGTGTGTGTGAGATGTGTGTGTGTCCTGTCTATGAGACTATGATGCTCCAACCTCAACCCTGCCTTTGAGAGCCTGGGGAAGGAGACCCAACAGAAGCCAGCAACTACCAGGGTATCAGACCTTTCCCCATCACACTGACATTTAGTCAGGGAGGAGTTGATGGCCCTTTACAAAAACACTACATGCTGTCCAGTGGGGTTCCTTTGGTAGCTGTAGAATAAATCAGCTCAGAACAAGGTAAATCTGTTTATGGTGTGTGAGCACATGACACACTGTGTCTGCGGACAACTTTCCAGCTGTCCTTCGCCCCCTGAGCTATCTGGGCTGTCAGAAGTAACAACTTCATTGTGACATAAATCACATGGAATTCGCTCTTTTTAATGCATACCACTCAATGGTTTTCAGTCGACTCATAGGGGAGTCATCAAATCAATTTTAGAATATTTTCAGCACCCCTGTAATTCTTAGGGGGCACTCTCTATGTTCCCTACAACCTAGCCTCAAATTAGTTCCTACTTTCTGTCTGGTTCTGGGGCCTTGCCTATTATCAGCACTCCTGTTAAGAATCCTACACAGAGGACTCTTTTGAGGCGGGAGAGGTGACTTCTTTGATCCATCTCAATGTTTCAAGGGCCACGCGTGTTATGACATGTTTCAGTACTTTTTCTTTCTTGCCAGATAAAATTCCATTATTGGAAAGTTTTTATCTATCCGTTAGTCAGGTGATGGGCATTAGGAAAGTCTTTACTTTTGAAAACTGCCACAAACAAATGCTACTAGGAATGTTTTTGTAGCTTTGGTGGGGGGGAACAAAGCTACCGATTTTCTTGGGTATGTGCTTGGGGGCAGAACTGCTGAGTCAAACAACAGTTAAGGTCTTTGACCTTCTGACGAAGTGCCTAACTGCACCCCAGAGAGCATTTCACGTTACCCCCAGACTTCCGACTTCTCCAGGGCCTTTTCTAGCCAGGGAGAAGCTACAGCTCCCAGCTTCTCTGTGAGTTTAGGCAGGTGGAACACCCCAGTTCCTGGCCCTGGGGAAGGACAGACCACTATGGGTCACTGTGTAAAGATATGGGGGTTCCATCAGTCTTTCCCACCCAGTATGTAAGAACGGAGACAGGAGCCTGACCCCAAAGCTGAGAGCCACAGCACTCTACAGTCCCGGGCTGCTCATTTCTGGAATGCTGGGACAACAGGAAATACGCGCCAGTTCCCTTGGAGTCTCTGCATGCTGGACTGCACATCAAGTCAAGGTCAGCTTGCCCCCACCACCTACGCGACCAGGATGATGATGCGTCCAGGCTGGTGTCACCACAGAGGCACGAGTCAGGGTTAAGATGAGGAATTATACAGTGGCCCTCAACCTCCTGGGAGAACCAACGGCTCTTGTAAGCTTTGGAAGCCTTGCCCAGTTTTACCTACCGACAGGTCTGTCCACGGGCAACATGCCCAGGTACTGCACGTGGAACTTCTGCACCAGTTCCGTCTTTGGTGTTGGAAAATCTACTACAGGGAACAAAAGCAGAGTGTTTCTCAGTAGTTCCAGAGGACAGGGAAAGCCAGTTGTCCATCCGCAATCTGCACACCCAGATGGCGACCCATACCAGAGCACCCTGTTCCCGGACGTTTGTTCTCTAACGACAGCATTTCCCGACTCCAGACATAGGGGCTTTGCCAGTCTAAATCCTACTGATCTCTCTTTCAAGGTGAAATGCTGAGGAAGGCAAAACCCAGTATGCTATGTCTTTCATGTGCTAAGAAACAGCCTTTTGTGCCCTATTTGTTAGGCGTGGCTGGTGCCCAAAGAAAGTTCAATCACAAAGGTATATATAATCAAAGGCATGGGAGAAACAATGCAGTCTCCCCAACTAACAATCTATAGATTTCTAAACTAGACAGTCCTTACCCCATGGTAATACATGGGATTAAACAAAACAAAACAAAACAAAAACTCTGCTACAATATTCTCTAATTTGTTCAACAGAAACAAAAAACATCTTCCCTGTTCAATACTTTCGAACTCTGTCCCCTCAGGGCCTGGAGCACACGCTCAACGTCCCCTCCCCTCCACCACCCAGGCAGGGTCTCACCATGCAGCACCCAGGTTGGCTCACAGTCCTACTGACTCTACGCCCCAAATTCTAGAGATCGGATTCTAGGATGGAGGCCACCAGGCCCAATTTTAAGGTGTATTTTTATTTTATATGTATGAAAGGTTTTGTTAGCTTGCATATACGTGCAGTACATGCGTGCAGTGACTGCAGAAGCCAGAAGAGAGCAACAGATGCCCTAGAAACGGAATCACACATGGTTGTGAGCAGTCCTGTGGGTGCCGGGAATCGAACTCAGGTATTCTGTAAGAGTAGCCGGTGCCATCATCCAGCCCTCAAAGTGTGTTTTTAAAGGAGACACGAAGGATCAGAGAACCCTGCAACCCTCCAGTCTTGCAGAACTGGCAGGAGACTTGGAGGAGGAGCCACTGTAGACATACCTTGCAATGGGACGTCGAGACTCACATTGTTCCTTTCCTGTAAGGAGCTGCAGGCCAGGGCTTTGGCGTTCTTCCGTTCAGCCATAATCTAGACAGCAAATGAAAGCGCATCTTGGGTTCCCAATTACGGATTCCATGTCACTCGCCAGCCCTACTAGCAAAGCATCTGAGTGGATTCTACCGGGATTTAAACTAATGCTCATCTTCTGCCTCCTTCCCCTGCCAGTCTCCCTGTGCTACACATTACGTGAGAATTCACCTTTCCCTGCTGGGAGGTGGCAGGTGAACATTTCCTCAGTGTGACAGTTCTCTGAATGCTTGGAAGCTACTTCTTCCATCTCCTGGTTCCCACACCTGTGGAGGACAACCTAACAGGCACCCTCTGGGGGCACCTGGACCCTCTGGACCCTGCGCTCAGAGAGCACAGAGTAACACGCTTCCCTGGCACTGCCCCAGGGTGACTCTTAGATACTCTTTCCAGGCCGGTGGAGACAGAATGTGTGGTTCGGATCCTACCATTGCCCTTACTAGCTGTGACCTTGGATAGGTAAGCTGCCCTTTTGTGTCTCATCGCCGTCACCGCATATAGACGAGAGTATGTATGTCACAGCGCATGTGTGGAATAAATGAAAAAAGGAATCCAGAGGGCTCTGGAATGTCGGCTGCTGCCACCGTCCTTCTCCGGCTCTTCCAGGTGGTCTCTCTTCTGTGAGGGACACTAATGGTCACTGTGTGCAGGCATCTTTCTGTTACAGTGAGTTACGTTCTTGTTCTCTACCAGGGAGTTACAGTGGTGTGGGTTTAGGGATTCAAAGACGCCTGGTTACAATGGCCCTGGAAGTAACTCACGCTTTGAATCCCAGCCCAAGATGTTCATTGCAAAGCAACGACCGCCGTTTCTCTAGGTGTATGTAATGTAGCTGGGATGTGACATTCACAGGAAAATCAACACAGGTCACATGCAAAAACTCCGCCATCTTGTGAGGGACTCGGGCATCCTGTGAGTGGGTAACCCTGAGGTCATCGATATGCCTTGAACTTCAAATCCACTACACATTAACAACATGGGCTGAGCACCCCCCTGCCCGCTGCTTCCTGAGTTTGATGTCACAGGCAGCTCTCCTGCCCTTCCGCTCAGTCAGTGAGGGGAAACAGGGAGGTAGACCATGTGCCCTGGACCCATCTTACCTTGGAACAGATTTCGTGGAGACTTGTGGCGATGGCTTTTGCTGGTGTGTCACATCGAAACACATGACACTTCAGAATCCTTGTGTCTTTGTCTCTTGCTACATAAGCGAAATCCCTGTGCAGAGGCAATTTGCCAGGATATTAGGAAAAGGAGCCTTTTCTCAACATGCGCTCCTGTTACGACGGTTAACGGAGCTGATAGCCAGCATGCCAGCGGTGAACTGCGGATGCAGATTAAAAACCGAAACCAAAACACCAACAGCTACAGACAGCAGAGGCAGAGGTCAGTGGCTGTTAGGGACCGTGTCTTCTAAACCTAGCTCCTGAACTTTGGGATAGGGAACCAGAGTGCACACTGAATTCTGAAGAAAGCATCTGTCTGGAGCAGTAACAAATAAGACGATGAGACAATGAACATGGAATTGGGAAGAATATGAATTACAGAATGATATAATGACAACCAGCACGAGGCAGCAGAAGCGAAACAATGGGCTGTGATGTGTGGGCGGGCACAGAGGACGGGCCAGCCCACAGCTGTCTGAGAAAGCTGATGGGTAATCAGAGAACCGCGGAACACACATGTCCTGTGAACTGGACATTACCAAAGGCATGTGACTTTGCCAGACACCCACACCATGGCCCTGGGGGTAATGCTGGTCTCCTGTGTTATATATCGGGTGAGCTCAAGCAAGTAGCCTATGCTGACTGCTCTGTCTGTGCTACTGATACCCATTATGACGTTACTTGGCTTCAGCACAACTATACCGGGTAACACAACTAAGTTTCTTGCTGTTATTAATGGAGACAATGGCTCTCCAAAGAGGAAGTGAAAGGTCTCGCTGTATAGCCGAGGCCTGGAACTCCAACCTTCTTAGCTAACTTCTAAGTGCTACAACCATGGCATGAGCTACCCCACACAGCAACTGAATTTATGTTTTTACATTACTTGTCTTCCTATCTGTCTTTTTTAAGTTTTAAAGATATATTCTATTTTTTAATTATAAGTATGTGTGTGGGTATGTACACCGGTATGCAGAGGCCGTCCCTCCAGGCCAGAGGCATGCCATCTCCCTGCAGTTGGGGATGCAGCTAGAGCCGTGCGTAGGTGCTGGGAATCCAGCTCAGGTCCTCGGAAAGAGCAGTGCACGCTCTTAGCTGCTGAGACACCTTGTGGGCCCTACTTGTGTGTTTCTGAGACACGGTCTCACAATGTGGCCCCGGGACCAGCCACAAAATTACAGCAATTCTCTTGCTTCCACCTCCCTGCGTGCCAGAATTACAGGTGTGAGCTACCGTGCAGCTTAGATTACTTCTATTACTACGGAAGAAGTTGGCAAGATTTCCATAGATGACCACACGAAGGTCTAGCCAGACAGGTGGTACTAGGGCGAGGGAAAGTTGGTGAGCTCGAAGGACTGGCAACAGAAACCTGCCTCCTGGCCTTCGTGCCCTGGAGTTGGTCCTCGATAGGCTCCAGGTCAGTGCATCCTTGTCTGCAATCTCACAGTTCTGCCCTCAGCCTGCCCTCACCTGCCCTCAGTATTGCTCCTTCACTGCCTATCTCTGTTGGCGTCTCCCATGCTGGAATCAAATGTTCCCTAGCCTGCCAGCCACAGCCCTGGACCCGATCGTAATGTCTTGGCCTATCTCACCACCTGGAAATCTCCTGGATCCCTCGCTCCCCTTCCAGCCTGACCAGCGCTTGGCGTTCTAGCAAGTTCTTATCCTTACCTTTGCTTACTTTGTCTCTACTCTATTGCCACCGCTGGGCTAGGGTTCCCTATGGACACCACACTCACCAGCGGGCATCCTGCAAGTCCACAAAGCTCCATGAAGATGGATTATATCTTACTCCCAATGCTTAGTCTGGGCCAGGGCACAACAGAAATGAGTAATGTTTGAGGGCTGGAGCACAGGCTTGCTCCACATGTCCCTGGTGCCTACAGGGAACGGTGGCCTTTACCCGAGGTGTGAATGGGTACCATGGCACTGGGTGAAGAGATAGGTCTGGGATGGGGCACACTTTGAGAGGTAAGGATAGTCTTTCTCCATATTGTGTTCTCAAAGCCTTCCCATCCCAGGCTCAAATGCCATGAAGGAAACACACAACCTAAAAGATCATTCTGGAGACAGCTGAGGGGAAGCCTTGTTCGTGGTTTTCTCCCCGAGCTCCCTTCATTTCCCACATGGTTCAGACAGTAAGGCACACAGTGTCTCACAACCCTCCCCCTTCCACCTCCCAGGTCTGGCTGGCGTGTTTCTGAGACCAAATCTCTCCAGATTCCCTTGCTTCACTCACAGGAAGTGCAAAACCCTTGTCTGGACTTTAAGAGTTGTAAAATGTCTGTAATATCTTTGAGCCTTATTCCTTCTAGCATGGTTCCCCCACCCCAACCCGGTTAAGAATGTGATCTTGGTGAGTGTGTGTTGTGGTATCTTCCCTCATTTGGTGACCATCTGCCCTCCCTTCGCTGTCCAGAGCTCACTCACCTACCCAGCACAGCCTACCCAAGGTCTGTCTGGCTGTGGCTGTCTGGCCCACAAGGCCTTGCTTGTCTAAATGCTGTCAGTATGTAAATTCTGCTCGCTATACTTTCTCTTGTAGAAATGTACAGTTCCTCCTCTGTGTCTCTCCTCTCTAAGGGTCAGGAAGGAACAGAAGGAAGGGTGCTGGATGCAGGCAAACCAGCTTCTAGTTCGTTCCTGGTTTTACTTAGCTAACATCTCTAACCCCAGAAACCTCAAACCAAAACTTGCTGGACAGGGCACCACAAGTGGAAACAGCCACACCATGAAACTGATATTTTTTTCTTTTTGATGAAATTATCAAAGACAGTGTTAAAACTGCCTTTGGCTGGTGTGAACAAAAAATAACTGTCAGACTGAATTGTGGATCCCATCTCATCATGGAGATGCAAACATTCCGAATCCAGAAATCCTTCTGGTCCTAAGCATCTTGGAGAAGAATATAGGACTGATGTGACCCCAGGCCTGGTTATGAAGCCCGTCTTTATGTGTGGGCAGAGACATTTACTTCCACATTGCTTTGATTTTGATGAAAACTTCCAAGACCCAGGCTCCTCTCCAGCCTGACTGGCAGCCAGCAGGAAGCCTATATTCCCAACGTTCCCAAGGTCACTAGCAGAGAGGACAGGACACGCCTGGGCCACTAACCACGGGATCAGTCCTACCAAGCACCGGCTACATACTGTCTGTTCTTTCATGTGTAACCTCACAGGCATAATTTTTAAAAAATCACTACTCTTAATCTTCATCTTTTTTCGGCTCAGGGGAAGGCAATGAATGCCGCAGGGCAACCGTCTGGAAACTATCTCTTCCCAAAGGAGAAAGCGTGCAGCCTTGGGCTTCTTGAGGGAGGGCTTTTCACAAATTTTGACAGCCTATCTCTAGTTCTTCTTAGGTAGATAACAGATAGGCAGAGATCCCAGTGCCGTTTTCCGTAGAGTTAAGAGGCTGGATGTCTCTAACTTTATTCCATTACGTATTCCAAATCACCCTAAAACAGCTGCTACTCCCCAACATGGAGGTCTGCACGGACAAGGCTTGTCCCTCAGACCTAAGCGTGGACAAGCATCTCATTCATCACCAGGAAATCTTCACTGGTTGGGCTGGAAGCTGTTTCCAGCATCTGCCTTCTGGAAATGGTTGCTGCAGCAGACACAGCAACAGCTTCCCTTGTTTCTCAAAGACATTCTTGTCCTAATTCATGGACTCTGACAAGTGTCCTTGCAGACGCACCAACTTAAGGATCCGGAGACAGGACCATTTCTCTAGATTGTCTGACTGGCTCTGAGAAATCCTGAGGGAAATGAAGCAACACCTGCCTTAGAAATGACAGGAGAGGAGCAGGGCCACAGGCAAAGGACACAGGGAAGGGCAGGCATGTGTGCTCTTCTGAAATTTCTACAATAAACACAGCCCCACTAGCTTTGAAAGCCTCCCTGTAGACCTCTGGCCTCCAGCACTCTAAGAGTGATATTTGTGGCTTTTAGCCACGTAAGCTCGTGGTAATCTGCTATAGCAGCGTCAGGAAGCTCCACGGCTGCCCCACGACTTCCCCAAAACTGTGGTACAGCATTTGGAATTTAGAGTGTTTGGAATAGCCAATTCTCTTCCGCAGGTTCCGTCTGTGGCACTGCCATTGAGCACCAATGATGTGAACACAAACAGACAAGGTTCCAGTCAGGACGCCCACGGGGCAAATTTTACAGACTAGTCAGAGAGTCCTATGATCTGTTCCTGGCAGCCTCTCCAGGGAGAGGAAGGAGAAGGCGGCCCAGATGAGACTCAGATGACGACAAAGACAAAAGGTAGGTGAGTTACAGGAGCCTCGGAAGAGCCCCTGGCTGTCCGCTAATGCAGCAGGGGCCGTATTGGTGGTGTGGCTAAACGGATGCTGTCCCAGGATCTGTCTGTACAGCGCTGCCCTCTGCTGTGTTTAGCTTTTACTCCAAGGCATTCAAGCCTTGCATTCTTACATGCATCCCGTCAGATGTGGCATATGCTTCAAAAAATTTGTGGTGGACACTGAGTTTGAGGTTTTTTTTGTTTGTTTGTAGGTTTTTTTGTTTTTGTTTTTTTTGAGACAGGGTTTCTCTGAAGCTTTGGGGCCTGTTCTAGAACTTGCTCTGTAGATCAGGATGGCCTCGAATTCACACAGACCTGCCTGCCTCTGCCTCCTGAGTGCTGGGATTAAAGGTGTGCGACACTGCCCAGTGAGTCCTTGAGATCTGTGAGGCGGGGATACTGACTAGAGAAGGAACTGAGGTTAGCCCACCAGACAAGGGTGGAGGATGCAGAAACAAAACAAGGCATGGACTTTCCGGAAAGGCATTTAAAGGCTTAATGCAGAAGCCTAGAAAGAGAAGGTGGGGAAAGAGTGAGGGGGAAGAAGGCCCAAGGTGAGGCTTGGAGAAGTTCCCAGGCCTGAGGGACTGAGCAGTAGAAGACAGAGTAGATTGTCTGGGAGGAGGGGAAGCTGCAGGGACCTTGGCCTTCTGGGCCCTGACCTAGAGAAGGGAATTTGGGATCCTGGTTAAACCAAAACTGATCCCTTACTTACTTGGGAAAAAAAATCACTTCTCCCTTTGGAATTTATCAATTACATATGAAAGCAGAGAAGAAATAAATTCCCATGTCTGACTACTCAACTTCCACGTGGAATGGTCAAAATGGCACCAACTTGCTCAGTATGAAGTTTTACTGCCCCTGATAGTACCATGATGCTATAGGCAAGCAGGTTTAGATTTGGGACTCTGTCAGGTTTCCTAGTGGTTTTCCTGCATTCTGAGGAAATAAAAAAGACATTGTATACAGCACTCCAGGGTCAGAGGACCCCTAGAAGGTGGGCAAATGACCATCCTAGTGCGAGACCCATGAACTCAGGAGGAGACTACCAGGGGCACATGCCTATCAGGTGTCGCATCCCAGCTGGTCTGCAGCAGCTTGGAGACTATGAGGGATTATGTGGCCAGCCAGGCCCTACGGCTCAGACATTGTGGGATAGACAGAAGGCTGGTATACAGTAGGGACATTTCAAGAGCCACCCAGAGTCCAAATGTGTTCCCTTCCCGAACTGTGTCAGACTTCTAGCGATAGGTTCCTCTGCTGCCCTCTGGTGGCTGGGTTTCTCACACAGTCTGGCATCTTCCAGGGACAGCATCTCATCTATAAAACCACACCACTAGTCTAAATGGCCACCAGGCCCCAGGTACAACATGGCTTCTGTTTTACCATACATTCTTCTAGATATCCAGCTGTCCAAGATGCTCTGTCTGATGATGATAGGGACCCTTTGCTCCAGCTGATACCCTGGCCAAGGCTGGATCAGGGGCCACCTGTCAAAGCAGGTGAGAGGCCGATCATCTTGCCCAGAGTCCCTCCCCATTTGTTTCTTGCTATCAAGGGAACTGTGGGGTTTTGCTCTATAAAGCAGGGGGTGGGAGGTTTGTAGTGGTAACCTCATGTCTCCTTCCTAAACTCTGACAGTCGCTTGTGACAGGAATCAGGCCCCTCTAGCAGTTTGATTGTGAACCCGTGTGCTTCCAGCTTTTTTCTTCTTGTCCTTTGCCGTTCTCTCTGGTAATTATCCCCCCAGAGGACCAGCCTCAAGTTCTGCCAGAGAGAAAAAACGTCAGTGCTAAGACATCTCTGACAGCCTCGAATTTCTTAATGGCAAAGTGAAGGACCAAAAATTGCCTTCGTTATTCTCTGCTCTACGACGTGCCGAGCACCCTACCAGGGCTCGCTCCGTTTTTATGGAATGAACAAGTAAACAATTCTTTATTCAAATGGCTCTATTAAAAACAGCTTCTCGGTTCACTCTTTCAATCTCTCCGGCAAACTCTCAGGGCATATGGAATTTACCTATGCATTTCTCGTTCTGCCAAAGGCACTGAAGAGGTGTCTAGAGACCTCTTAGCTGCGACATACATTAACTGTCCCTGCGATGGTAACCCTGACAAGTGGTACCCAGATAGAACACTTCATTTCCTTATGGAACCAGCTTGTCTTGTTGTTGGAAGGCTTCCAGTGACTGAATGGAAAAATACATATGTACATAAATACATATAAGTGTAGCTTTTTTCTCTTAATGAGAAACTGCAACCCCCCTCCCTGGACTTTTTGCTGGTTGAAGTAGTTTTCCTTTCTGGGGGAGACCCAGAATGTTATGACCCTGCCAACGACACTGCTGGCCACGTGACGGCCACTGTGTGCTCTTTTCCCCTGGACTCTTCCCACCCACTGCCTCACCAACTCTCCTCACCAGAATTTCTTACCAAGGCTCCACAGGCTAGATGACACCTTTCAGGTAATCCATATCTATTCGGGTCAAATGGATGTTTTTATGCAGAGAATTTCTAAAGGCTGGTCCATGACAGGCACTTGTGAGTGGCAGTTACCATAATAAATGAGGGGAAAGCAAAGAGAAGTCCACTTTAGGATGCAGTCTCCTTCCCAAGAAGGATGCTTTCCTGCATGACCTGAATGGAAAAGCTTCCTGTATGGTGTGCAGTTATCTGTCCTCCCAGCCTGCCTATGTATGGAGGCTATCAGCCAGCAGAGTGGTTCCTAAGAGGCCAAGGCAAGGCCCCAAGCCAGGATGAGACAGCTGCAAAGGGACCTGGGCCAAAACTCTTCTCGCACTTTGGATGGAGGCTTTCTCTTCCCTTTCCTTCACACACAGAGTTGAGTACAGGATTCTGGAATTTAGAAAGTCAGCCCACACCAGAACACAGAGTGTTGACCGGAATCCCAGGACACATCAAAATATACCTACTAATACCCCCAGGACCAGGGAGAGAATGTATCCTATGTCCAAGACTGCTCTTATTCTGAGATCATACTTTGGGAGATTTGTCTTGAGGATGGGAGGAACAGGGAAGAGAAAGAAGGGGACATGAGGAATCTCACTGCCCCAGCTGGCTGGTCTAGAACATCTGTCTGCACACCTGTCTTGGGTAGTGCTTTTCTGTTTCATTTTACCCAACATCGACTGTATTGTGAGTGAGTATCAGGTAATCTCACCAAGCCTGAGGTTGCATCTTGGTAAACTTTCCCTGCTGCTGCTTCTAGGAAGACGCTAAACTTACAGTGAACAGGGGCAGCCTGACAGTTCAGGACCTGGGGCGAACATGCTCTGCACAGCAGAACTTCCCAGGCACCCTTTTCAGATGTGGGCTGTGTGAACAGCACGTCTGAATTCTACCATCTGCCATGAGCAAGGAGGCTTGGACAGAAGGCGCACATGCTCCAGCGCACGGTCCTGCCGCTGATATGCAGAGCAGCTGCCACAGTTGTCTGAGTAAGGAGACCTGGGCACACAGGGAAGGGAGGAGCTGGCCAATGTCTGGAAACCTCCCCACCATGGATTCCAGCAGGGTGTGCGCTGCGCGGGGGTAAGAGATCTTACATCTCACGCTTAGGCCCAGGATGTGTCTGCCCAAAGGGAGAAATTCTCTTGGTCATATCCTCTGGTGGTCCCGTTCCCTAAGTAAGACCTGATAGGCCAATGCTGGCTTGCTTGCCTAACCACTGAGCTCACAGGCAAGACAGAAAAATGCTTGCAAGTCACAACACCTGAAGTGTAGCCAGGTATGAGCCCAACGCAAAGAGGAACTCGACCTCGGGTCCCTTCACTGCGGCTAGAATGTCTCAAAATGTCCTAGTTCCGCCAAAGTGGTTTTGTTTGTCTGGTGACGGCAATAGAGTACGAGGGAGCTTCAAGCTTCCATAGTGTCGGTTGGGAGGCTGACATTTTGAAACCTCAGCTGATGAACAGACGCCTTGGATTTCATGGTTCCACCCTCTCCACTAATATATCCTTCAAGGACGAAATGAGAGCTCCCTGCCCGCACTGTGGCTAATACCTGATCCTGAAATGGACCAGACTTCTGGCTAGCCAGCCAGCAAACTGAGGAGAACGCAACAAAGGACAACACTGTCACTCGTCCAGAAACAGCTAGAATGTGACACGGGACCCATACACCTCCGTCACACTCACTCCCCAGCACGCTGAGTCATTCGCTCAGCCGTCAGTGAGAGAGAGCCACTGGGGTGGTTATTATTCGTAGCTTGTCACTTAGCCCATCACCTTCCCCAAACAGGACCAGACACGGGAGACGGTTAGGGGCCCGGATGCAGCTCCAGGCTCAGGTGCAAATGGCGGTGAGAAAAGGTTAGACAAAACAACGGTCTGCCTTTGGAGGCAGCCAAGGCTGTGAGGATGGTGTTGCCATGGAAGAAGCAGTGAGTTTGGCCAGACACATGAGATGCCAGGGAAGGGGGAGAAGTGAAAAATCGCTGGTTACCTCTCTCTGAGTCCAGGAAGGCATGAGGGGAGAGCAGAAACAGCAAGTTAGCATTCATACCGCATCCAGTCGACAGCAGCCGCGCTCGGCGCCGACATCCCGCCGGATTTCCCAACTTTGCAGCCATTAATAGCCTCTCTGTGCTTATTTTAGCCGAACCCTCTCACCCAGAAGAGTGTATTTTGAGCCACGCTACGGTGAAGCCAAGAGTTGCCAGCTGAATTTACAGAGGCAACAGAGCAGCCGGGGGAGGTAACCAAGCTTAAAATATCGCAGTCAAATACAGGAGACCGCTCGCAGGAAACACTGGCAGGGAACTTATCTTCATTCTCCAGCCCCCGGCTTCTCACAATTTAAAAAGATAAGACAACAAAACGTACAGAAACGATGAGGCAGATGTAACCTTACCTGCTTCACAGCACCTGGGCGTTCTATCAAAGCTACTGCCCTGACACCCAGGGGCTTTAACGAATGGGGAGGGACACGGAGCAGAAGGTGCAGGACAGAGGTGGGGAAGGAAAGAGACGGGAGAGGAAAACTTCAAGGGTCTGGGCACAGAGCAGGGCCGAGAAGAGCTGTGGGTACGGAGAAGTGACAGAAAGGTGAGGGTACAGGGAAGTGCCAGGGAAGAGAGGAGGATGTGGAAAGGAGCTGGGAGCAGATGCAGGTGGGGTGGAGTGGGCTGGGGACAGTAAGTGTTGAGTTCCAGGCTCAGAGCTACCCTGGGTTGCCAGGTGACCCTAGAGATATCACCAAGTCCTCTGTCCTTTTCTGTTCTGTGAGAGCTAGTATGAAAGGGCCCAAAGGCAGCCCTCTAAGTGACACATGGGTGCTCTACAGAGCATCAGACTGAGGAGGCAGAGAACCAGACGGTGAAGCCAATGAGGAGAAGAGATGCAGCAGCTACAGGGACCTGTTCTCCTGCACGCCAGCCCTGCAGCCATTGTCACCAGGCCAGCAGGGCTCTGCAGGGTAATTGATAGTTAATAGGCAATCAAGCACCGCAGACACTGAACTAGAAAGGTAGAGGGAGCCACTACACCTCAGAATAATATTGGTGTCATACTACCTACCACATGCGGACTGAGAGGTCTACAAACCCAAGTAAGTGGAAGTTACAAGGGCTCAAATGAAAAGCCACGAGAAAGGTTTGAGTGCACAGAAAAAATTAGCACCGTAAACGGGCTGAAATAACACAGCACCCAAACTCTCCCCTTGGAGGAAAGATGACAGAGGATTTTATTCAACATATTTGCTTGACTATTATACAACAGGCAGGAATTAATTTTGCGATACAACATACACAGCTACCTCCATATTCAGGGAAAATCAACTGTGATCAACACGGGCCAAGAGCCAGCACAGGTGACACCTCTAACACTTATGAGGACAGTGACCCACCCCACAGCGACCCTTCACTGAGCTCTGGCGTTGTGCGGCCCATGTGGCTCGTGTGGGCCCTACCAGCAACCTGACGAAGCCATTATTACAGTATTCTTGGAGAGATGGAAAAACAAGTTCAGAGAGTCTGAGGAACTTGGCTAGGTCATATAGCAAACCCACAGTGAACAGAGGTTTGGGATTCCAGGTCTCTCCTGGTCTGTCTCTCAGATGATAAACCCACCAGGCTGAATAAGTTTGCTTAAAGTTTGCCAAAGGGATCGAGGTTTTTAGATGATCAGACGACCCAAGTTTCACGGAAAGGGTCTTCAGGCTAATGAGGTAGACAGAATCAGGGTCTTCCAGGTCTTACCTTCTTTTTGTCAGTCTACCAGGCTCTCCCATGCACTGGGCACACTATGTGAGATAGCATGCTCCTGACTTAGGTCACCCATCAGTGAAGAGGGGCAGAGACCCTGGCTCAGGGCATTCAGGAGAAATGAGATCAAATGAGATCTTGTATCAATGAGATACAGCAATGGCCTGTATCTCAGGAACTGTTGGCACAAAGTCATTTAAGGGGTTCCTATCTCAGCTAGGCTGGGATGGGCAGCGTTTGACCTCGAGGGCTGGTTTGGAGGATCTACCAGAGGAGTGCATTTATAAGTATACTCTTGCCTGAAGGATGGTCCTTCTCTACTGGAGAAGGTCATCATCAATGGAGCATGCAGCTTTGGAAGGGGACATGAGGGACAGTGAGGGAGCAGGAGGACATTTATCTAGCCAGCCAGATCAGCTGAATCAACACTGGGAGCCAGTGAGATGACAGATGTCATCGTCATATTGTCCTCATATCTTCAGGTGGCATCTGAGGAGGACTATCTCTTGCAGAAAGGCATTTACCTAGGGAGGGGGTGTTTCTTAGACTTTCTAGATGTTCCTTGGGATAACATAGTTGCCTTTGGTTAAGGTTCTTCTGCACTCTCCCAGCCCTGCTAGCAAAGTCAACCTTTTTTTAAATTTAAAAATCTTTTCTTTTTATTTTAATATGCATTCTTCCTCTGCCTGTACATATGTCTTTATCAGAGTGCTGGATCCCCCAAGAACTGGAGTTACAGACAATTGTGAGCTGCCACGGAGATGCTGGGAATTAAACCTTGATCCTTTGGAAAAGTAGCCAGTGCTCTTAACCACTGAGCCATCTCTCCAGCATCTGTCTTCTAGAGATCCTGAGTTCAAATCTAAGCAACCACATGATGGCTTACAGCCATCTGTAATAGGATATGATGCCCTCTTCTGGCTTGCAGGTATACATACAGAGCACTTATACATGAAAAACTATGTGTGTGTGCGCGCGCGCGCGCGCGCGTGTGTGTGTATAGTCAGTATTTAGAGGCAACTTTCTGTAAGTCAATGACCCTCTGGAGTCTCACACTTCCCACATCAGATGAAAAAGTCTCCCAGAATGTCTTTACAGTCAGTTTCCTTCTTTAATAACAAAAAATCATGTTTTTTGAGAACAAACAAGTGATGTGTCTTTGATTCAATCTTGATTTACAACAAAAGCTTTTAATTACTTCCTCTTCACAAATGTCGATGTCTAGTGTAAGACAACAACTCTGCCCAACGGTAGTAACTCTAAAGACCGAGGCTACAATGTTTCTGTTATGTATAGCCTTGGCTATTTAAAATCAGACTCACTGCAAGGGACTCATTGGAACAAACAACACTGACATGCAGCCACTGTGTTCCCCCCATAGGAAGAACTGGGAAACATCTGAATAGAGTTAATTCTTTGGGGGCTAAGAGACACTGCTCGCTTTATGTGTTGAAGTAAAAACCAGCCATAAAGAGAGATTTCAGGGGAGCCCTGAAATGTCATTCAAAAACGTCAGAGTCAGTCAATCAGGCAGCTGCTCCACCACTCAGCACATCGTAAGTTTGCTGGATGAGAAACAACAACAACAACAACAACCCATTAGCCTAGAGCTGGGCTTTTACACAAGATGAGGCATTCTGAGAGTGGAGGAGGCTAAATTCAGTCAGGCGCAAGTCTACTGCCTTCTTAGGGTACATGAAGCCAGTGGGAAGAGTCACGTCTCAAGATGAGTTCCACTGAACGCTCACCAGGGCTGCCCGACCAGCAGCCTCTTGTTGCGGCTCCTTGGAAAAACAAACTCAGGGAAAACTGGCCGTGTTCTCCTTAGCATAAACCTGAAACAACAGAGCTACTTGGCATGTGCAACTGGCATTCCCAAACATTCCTGAAAAAACAACGGAGACGGCACAGCAGAGCAACATGGTATAATACGGTTCTTTGAAAGAGGGCATCATCCTTTGTGCCCTGGCCAAGACACTTCCTGCTCCCACAAAAACACAGCTATCTCCTTCTCACGTCCTGAGCTCTCAAGGCAAGGCCTCTGCTCTGCCTGCTTGTCCACTGCCGTGGAAACCTGTGCGCGCGTCCTCGGATGCTTTTCTTCATTGCTGTGGATCTCTGGGACCCCTGGGCGTGGGGTCACCTTCCTCACACAGCAGTGAACCATGATGAAGTCTTCCGCCTGCTCTTGCACCTCACAGTCCGTTTCCTGCCTAGCTACTCATCTCCACTCCCTTAGTAAAGGACTTTTGTTAGCTGTCTGCCCTGGTTGGGGCCCTTGGCTCCTTTGTTCTTTAATTTTATCTGTAACATGGGCAAAACAGTGGGACGCGCATCTCAACAGCTGGGAGAGCTATGGTTGAGTCGATCCACAGAGTGTTCCTGAGCTGTGACGGTTGGCGCGTGACTCTTGACGTGATTGTATGGGGCAAGAAAGGCAGGTCTGTGACCCAAAGCCACGGCCCACAAGGAGGGCCTGCACTCGTAATTTTATGTTCAATTCTGGAGGGGAAGGAGCTGGAATGGCCCAGCAGACCCCTGTGGAACCTTCACCTCTCTGGCGAGAGACTTCAGAAGCGAAATGAATAACAAGTTTATGCAAATTCCCCATCTGGTTTCTGGTGAGATTCACACACTTCAGCCCAGGGACAGGCTTTCTTTCCTCTGAAGGAGGATGACAGAAATACCTGCCTTGAACCAGGGACACTGTCCTTTCCACAGTAGGGTCCCTGTACCTGCTCCTGCTGCCAGCGCCAGCCTCCATGACTGCCATTAGCTGGGGCAGGAGAGAGCTGGTGTGACCAGGATTTACAGTGGGGTAGGGATATTAAAATTCGAGGCACATTCTTCTAAACAAAAGGTTTCTCCTGACACTGGAGAGAAGGCATGACAGTTAACTGCAGCTTACTGATGAGGGGGAAACATCTTTAAAAGCAACCAAGAAATCGGTGCTGTTTTCCTTGTTTCCAAAGTCTATCTTGTGCAGAAGAACTCATGAGTTCCCGCTTCCCTTTGTGCAGAGTTGCAAATGAAAAACCTGCCTCTCTGACCAAGAGGAAATTTAGCATTTAGTTTTCAAAAGAGGGATAACTCACGCCATGCCGCGGTTTCAAGGGTAAAATTTGAGCTCATTAAAGAATGCAGTTATATATATCATACTTGAATGGTGAAGGTGAGGCTTTCTTTCTCAAACAGATGGTAAAACAGAGGCATGGGCCTCCCAGAAGGCTCCTATCTGACAGGGTGG